GCTTTCATCTTTAGCTGATGTGATAGTTACAGTGAGAAATAGTGTATATTCTTTCTGGCTTAGTTATCTTATCACTGTTGAGTGTTTGGTTTTACATGGTTCCTCTTTCCAAGATCCTTCCTCTTTCTACCTTCACACAGCTCCTTCTGTCTTTCACAAGCAGCTGTATAATTGGTTAGAATATATAGACTCCTTTCTCAAATTGCCTCTAGATCAGCCTCTGATAATCCAAATTCCCAGTATTATCAGCACCCTTAGAGAGGGTTAACTGCTCTAGCTGCTTCTTTATCAATAGATAGTTTTGGTTGGTTGGCTTTCTGTCATTGTTCCTTTCTGGTACGTGGCTTTCTTCTGGCCTCTTGCATGTTTTAGCTCCAACTGGAGGCAGCAGAAAAACCCCAGGCTCAATTTGGAGGCTGTTAACTGCCTTGTATACATTAGGAGAATCTGAAGATATGAGCTGCGTTTATAAACTGTTTGGAGTTCTGTGAACTATGTTCACTGAAGGCATGCAGTGAAGGACACAAAACGTTTTTGAGCCCAAATGTGTTCTGATCTTGTGCACTGAACTAAACTGAAATCTTTAATTTTCTATGTTATACAAACCAGAATGTTCCCTTTGAGAAACCAGCTCTTATCTGCATGTCCCTTAGAGTCTGTGTTCCTTTCCCTCACTCTACAAATGTGGCTGCAGACTTGAAAATGAAGCTGCTAATAAGCACATCTTTCTTTGGTATCCTTCTGTTCCTGTTTAACATCATAAAGTGTTTTGCTTTCAATTTGAGAACAGATTATGGTTAAATGGTAGTAATGGAGTTCCATCTCTGTCTTTTCTTCTCCCCATTCAAGCTTACGAAGAGTTGCTTCATGAATCCTGTAACAGGACACCAGTGGGGAGTGATTTTTCACCTTCCTCTTGCCTTTGCATTGTGTTGCATAGTGTGCTAATTCTATAAGTTAAAACAAATTGAATAAATTCAGCATTTTACAGTGCTCTGTGTGCAAATGCTAATGAGTAAACTCCCTTTTTTTCAGGGAGATTCTGGAGGTCCCCTGGCCTGCACAGGAAAGGGGAATAGATGGTATCTTGCTGGCATTGTGAGCTGGGGTGAAGGATGTGCCCGACGCAATCGTCCTGGTGTATACACTAAGGTGACAGCACTTTATGACTGGATTCGTCAGAATACAAACTGATGTGCTGCGAAGAAAATGCAGGTCATCTCTATTACCAAAGCTGCTTCCTGTGTTGTCACGTACATGAAAGTGCTGCTGTTTCACTGTGAAAGAAAGCACTATCTTAATGCAGAAATGATTATTTGTCATTCACCTTTGGATTCAGACCAGCTTCAAATAACTTCATGTTCCTTACGGATTCATATATCAGCAGAAACAGAGTTCCCTTACATATTAGATTTGTATCTGGAAAAAAAAAAGTCCAGCCAAATTGTTCTTATCAGATCATCTTCCCTACTTCCACCTACATGCATCTCTTTTGCTATCTACCTTTGCATAGGGATACATGGATATTCATGCTTACATCCCATATATACTCATATATTCCCTTACTGATGTTACGAGATTCTAAACGTGAGTAATTCCTTTGATTTTTTTCAAACTATAAATAATATGATCATGTATAGTAGACAGATTTGAGATGAATCTGTGCTTTAGATTTGCTGCCACTTCATGGCTGTTCTTTTCTGGGCTGTCCTCTCCTGTGTTTTTCCTAAGATCACCAAATACTTAGCTCACAACTGTTATGATGAAAAAAAAAACAAAACCAAAAAGTAAAAAAAAAAAATATGGAAGAGCATCATTAGTTTCTTGGAACAGTAAATAAGGGGAAATAAATACTGAATTTTAATTAAATAAATGAAAGAAAACTGCATGTAAAAATGCATTATGAATTATGCTTTTTTTTAAGCTCCTAAGAAAGACCTCATAAGCTATCAGTTCATCAGCAAAATGTCAGGAATTTAGAATACCTATCACTACAGGCTGTTAGTACATATTTGTGTGTGTAACTGATTAAGATAAAACTGTATATTTGCCTTCTTTAATAATTGTTAATACCAAGGCTATTTATTAATTGCCTTCTTTGATATTAGGCTGTGATGAAATCACCCAAACCAGAATGATTTCCTTTATAAAGGAACTGGCAATTAGATCTCAATTGTAGCGCACACTGGAGTGTAAGTTGGTTTGTATCCAAGACTTGACTATCATTTTTTTTTCTCCATCTCCAAGCAGCTTGAGGGCTCACTTAGCACCCATGCAGAAAGTGGCAGGTGGCAACTGCAGTGGAACTGCATTGTGTTGTATCAGTCTTCAAACCAGCATGACATTGGTCCCTAGGTCATAGAAGGCCAATCCCCAGAAACTGTACATGCACCTGCCTAAAATGAAAGGCTGGAGCTGCCTGAAGAGACAAGGTACTACATTAGCAAGACTGGACAAAACGCACAGTGGCATTTCTCTGGGATCAGCTTGCAAGCTGTTTCAGGACTACTGCTTTGCCAGGAAGTCTGTCTTGTTGAATCCAGTTTTCTAGTCAAAACAAGCAAATAATCTTGCAGCTCTGAGACTCCCCTGATTAACCTAGACACCTTCCTCAGTCTTTATTGCTTTTTTTTTTTTTTTTACCTTCTCTTTACACTGAGAAAATGCTTGTAGGGTCTAATGTCTGCAGTGTGTAACAGGTTAATTGTCTCATCTGTCTCCAACATGCTCCTTCTATTTTGGCATGCTTCTGGTGGGTTTGTGCTACTTTCATTGATGTCCTTGGTCTGCAGTGAACCAAGTTTCAAGGTCACGTTCTTTGTTTTGTCTCTTTTTCTGGCAAAAGTTGTGCTCATGTGACCATGCTGCTCTGAAAGAGATGGAAAAGGAATTAAGAGGTCCTTGATCTCAATGAAAGTGGAGGAGGAAATGACAGCCACACTTCTGTCATAAGATCATTGTTTCAATCTTAGCAGTAAATCTAGCTTTGAAAATGGTGAGCCTATAAACCAAATCTAGCTGATTTAAAGATTCCAAAGCTGTTTATGATATTTAATAACACTGGCATTCAATTTAATAAAAGATCTGTCTGTGTTTTCTAGAAGGTCTTAGAATCATGGTGTGTATTTGGAAGTGTTAAGCTTTTAAAAGAGGTGAAATAGATGAAGCTGGTAACTTGAATATGAGTCCTTGCAGGTCACAGCATGCTGTTTTTCTAAAGTACATAAATATGTGGTTTTTATTTAGCCACTGATCTTTGGGAAAACGTGAGAATGAGCTAGTACTGAAATTTTCACACAGCGTGCTTCCTGTGTCTAGCAGGGATACTGCTGCTTCATCCTTTCTTGCTGTGGTTGTGGGCATTCCCCTCACTGCTACCCCCACAGCAATTCTTGAGTCAAGCTTCCTACCTAAACTATACTCAAATTATATTCTAGGGGTTTTAGTAACTATAAAGGCTTACGTCATTCACTTCTTTTTCAATAAACACATGATAAAAATGTAAATGTCTATGTTTTCTTCATTTGGTTGTGCCTCTGAAACTCTAATCCCTAGATATGGTCAAAATTGCATTTGTACTTTGGATTTTTTGTAAAGCTGAGCCAAACCTGCCTGCACTACAAAAGCATGTATTTAAGGGCATTTGTTTCTTCTCCTTTTTTAGAAACAACGGTTTTCTTCACTTCAGAATAAAACAGCTTTCCTGCTGTACAGTTTGAGATAAGAACCTAGGCCAGAAGGTTCAGATCAGCTCTTAACTTCCCGTTTTATTTAAGAATTTTGCAGTTCCATGTGTCAGAAGGGTCAGTTGCTTCACTGGCAAAAAAAAAAAAAGACACTAAGTGTGAAAGTTAGATCACTCAGACAACAGAAATTCAGGAGTTCATACAGAGTTCCTTCAGAAGAGTGGAATAAATGGACTTTGGCATTTGCAAGCTGAGATCCATAATCATTAACTCGACTTAGAAAAAAGTTGTTGTTTCAGGCAGTTCACCAGGAAGGTACAGTCTTATATATGAGTGGAAATGAAGTAAGTGAACCCAGTTTTCAACAGGAATACTGAGAACCAGCAGGTAAATTCCTTTCTAGTGAAGATACCAAGTGAATTCCTGTGGATTCAGATACCTGTTTTGATCTTGATGGCTGCTCAGCTTCATTCTCAGTACTCCAGTCTTTTAAGGATTCTCCACAACCAGAAGATGAGTCGTGGAACTTCTGTTTCTTTTTATTTGCTGATTTAAACAGAGCCTTATGCTCAGCTTCACAGAGTGTCTTTGCCTGGATGACTGCACCGTGACATCAGCAATCCAAACCTCCTTGGGAATACTCTAAGCTTTAGTAGCCAGAAGAGTTGCACAATGAGAAAATCTGAGGGAGAAAAGCCCATCCTCAGTGTTTGGCAGGGAAAAGAAGGAGTGGTGCTGTGAGTGGATGTTCATCCAGCAGAAAAAGAAGTTGTGGAAAGAGGCTTTGTTCCCTTCTTAATGCACTGTCCTCTCTTCTGAGGCAGGAGTGTGAGCATCCTTTTGACCAAAAGTAAGAGGAGTGCTCTGTGGCAAGGAAGAAGAAACCCCAGGAAGGAGTTAGAGCAGAAGAAATAAGAGGAGGTAGGATGAAGAATAATGCAAGGGTGGGTGGGAGGGAGGGAGAGGGGAAAATCAACCCCTAGCTATAGTAAGCATTTTATTTCTTGTGGCAATCTAGTGCAGAACAAATCTCAAAAATCTCAATTCACACAATGATTTGCTTTGTAAAACCCTCAAGGGCGCAAGATAAAATAGAAGGCCATCCCCCTTCTCTCCTCAGATTTGTTCTTTTTTTACATGGAATTAAATTCTCAACTTCTCAAGTTTATGCTCCACAATATGTGAGTAGATATAAACTCTTCTTTGGCACTTGACGTGATTTCAGACTATAGAAGAGCTAGAGCAGACAATTCCCAGCACAAAGCTGAGTAGTGTTCAGTTCCAAATAGACTATACTGGGAGGTTAAAATTGGAAGCATTAATGGAAGATGTAAACTCCTATTGTAGCTCAGCAGAACCACAAGCGATGTGATACTTTCCTTGGTTTATGCTGTCGAGAACCACATCTGTTTGTCTGTATTTCAGTGTTTCAGCTGAAAGCAGCAGGGAAAGCAATCCAGTTGCTTTCAAAATCACTTCAGCAAATGGCAGCACTGCTGAGGGTTAGTCACCTGCTCGTGCTTGTCGAGGGCTGGTACGGTAAGGTAGACAAACTGGAAAACCTAGTCTTGCACTGTGGAGTTGTGGAGACGACGCAAATCGATACTTCCTCTCCCTCCTTTTCCTGCTTGGCTTGTGCAGATGATGTTATTTGTCTTTCCAAGGATTTCCCCTTACTTACTGACGTTTTGAGATCGCTCCTGTAAAAGCTATCCCAACTCTCTCACTGTTACAGTCTCCAGCTTCATACCAGAACTGCTACTGGCACAATTACAGCTGAAACCAGAAGGAAATGAGCTGGCTCCGTGCTTGCTACAGAGACAGAGGTCCTCACACAGAAACAGAAGCTATGAAAAGGCAAAGCTCTGATGGGGAGCATGAGGTTATTGAATTGCAAGAAGTTAATGGGGAGGAAAGTACAGCTGATCATAAAAAGCCTCTAAATTCTCCAGCACCTGCAACGAGCAAGGTAGGAATTTCAGTTGCTCATCTGATGCTTGTGGAGCTCCTGGGGAAATACCACCCAATGACAGAAGGCATTTAATAGAAACTTTGTGTAGGGGTTGTTTAATTTGCTTGAGGGATGGGGAAAGGTTTCTCGCTTGAAAACAAAGACTGAAAGCACGTAAAGTGTATTTATTTTATTTTGCACAATGAAACATTCTAGTTTTTAAGTCAGATATTGAGCATTATTATTTTTCAATGCTGTCTGTGAGCTTTATCTTAGGAAATAAAAGTTGTAGTTGCACTTGGTATTCTAAGTTTTGCTTTCTGTTTTCATGTACTGCCAGTGGGACTTGGCTCGAAACTAGAAGGGAGAAATGTTGAAACACATTAAAAACCGACTTTCTGAAGGAACAAATTAATCTGAAAACGGTGCTGCCAAAGCAAGAATCAGAATGTCCTGCAGTAAAGTTTGTAAATCATGCTGAATTCTCACTCTTTGATCTTTGAGCAATTTGTGGTTGCTAACATTTGGGAATTTATACAAGAGCGCCCCAAAGCCTCAATTAAGAGTAGTGCGTGAGTCCTGGGGTAGCCAGTGCCCAGCATTTAGCTTCAAGCTATGGGACAGATTAACACTTCCAGATGAGCAGTACTTACTCATGAATGGCTGTGATACAAAATTCTCATTACTTACTTAAGAGCAGGGGGAAAATCTGTGGCAGAAATTCCACATTTCTGCGTAGGCAGATCTTTTGGAAAGACTGAGCCCACCTGAGATCTCGGCAGCATTAGTCATGCTGTCTCTCCCTTCGTGCTCCTGGCCAAGTTTCGTTGTGTGAGCACCATTTATCGTTTCAGAGTTGATCTGTGCCATTAAATAAACATCCTGATTTCCTATACCATATAGGGGGCCAGTTCCTTCTCCTCTGACCTAGTGAGCTGAACCAGCCTGCTACAGGATCAGGCAACTTCTGCAGAGGTTCAAAGAGGAATAGGAGAAAGGGTGGAGGAGAGAGGCTTAGCTGCCTTGAGAAACTGCCTTGAGTTTCTGTTCAGCCTTCCCCTTCCCAGAAATGTGGGCTCTTTCTGCTGATTCTGGAATTTGATTTCCTATCCCATGAGGAATATTGGAAAATTACTATACTCTGCTTCCTGTCAGGCAGCAGATTAATTGCAATGGCCCTGCCCATTTGGAAGAGATTTTCTTCTGTTGCTTCTTCCTGGAGGCCTTGTGACGTTTATGGGCAATGTCCAAGAGTGTGCTGGCCCAGCTGATGAGACATTGTTGCAGAGCTGAATGTCTACTTGACATCAATCCAGTTTACAGACCTTGATTAGCAATTAATCTTTTGTGATAGCCTGAATATGTAACTTGTATTCTAGGTGGGAGTTTGGGCTTGATAATTGACTAGACTGATGATATAAAGTGATTTCATCAGTGTAATGCTAGACAATAGATACCAATTTGTTTTTTTTCAGATAAAAAACTTATATACTAGTGTCAGGTATTAAACTCAAGGTTGTCTCTTTTAATACAGTTTTTAAAAAATGAAAAGGAATCACCATGTATATACATGACCACTTGAATGTGTGCTGTAAGAGAAACTATATTAAGCCAGTTGCTCTTCATTCCCCACAAAAGTGAAGTTCTCCATGGGGAAGTGTCTGTAGAGGGCACTTTGTCTCCCCCAGCTCCTGGAGAGCTTTAAATAAGCTCTTTCTGGGGATATTTGCTCTCTCCCCCTGTGCAACTGCTGTTCCAATGAAGTTTTAAGCCAGCTGGTGGATGCCAGTTCAATTCATTAAAAAGTTTTCCATTGTGCTAGGTTCTTAGAAAGTTCAGAAGGTGAAGAAAAGGAAACTAGATTAATGCTGCCAGCTAGCAGCTGGTTCCTGCCAATCTACCAGTGTGTATCTCAGACAACCCGTAACACGTGCTTTGCCTCATTTGATGCCAAAGGCAAAAAGACATGGAGTTCATAGGTTTACAGTAGATTGGAGGAGTATAAATTAAAAGGAAAGTATGCATTCATGCTCTTCCTTCAATTTTCTGTCTGTGGAACAAATTAGTTGGTGTTTATTTGTTTTATTATGTCACCTAAACTTATTTTTTTAATGTTAGTACAGCTGGGTTAGCTAATAAACTTGCTCTTAAATCTTAGTAAAAGTTAAATGAAATGTAGGTATTGTCTTTTCGCTCCTACATGAACGTGCATGCAAACACAATTTGTTTGAATGTCATTTGTTTTCCTTGTCATCTAGAACAAGCGAGATTTGTAATAATCTTTAAGTCTACTCAGTAGCCTCCCAGTATTCAATCTTCTGAAGAAAAAGGGAGTCAGCTTTAAAAGTCTTAATTACTCTAATTTTTTTTTTAATGCAATAATATCTAATGAATAGTATCTCACTTGCTTTGAGTGCTGGCATCCAGGAACTATGCAGGCTAACAGCATCAACATCACAGAGGTGAATTGTTTTGCAAGTTCCTCCAGACGTGTTTTTAGCTGGGAGACATGGCACACTTTAATAGGACAGCCTGTGGGATATGCACATCAAAATGAAATAGTTGACAAAAATTGGAAGCAGTGAAAGAACCTATGTAGCACTTCAGCTTTCTGAGCATTTCAAAAGTTGGAAACTGAACAAATGTGGAGCACTAAATCTCTCAGATAGATAGGCCTACAGGTCTATCTTCTATCTTGCACCAGTAGTTCAGGATGGGAACCCTTGATACAGAGAATTACGTAGTACAAGACTCTCATTTATGTTGGGCTTTTTTTGAGCGTGTTTCTATATGTGACCATAGAGACATGCTTAAATATTCTTCCCACCTCATTTCACTAATCAAAATTCCCTTTCCTTCTGTAACTAGGAAAGAGATCAGTGGAAATCATGCAGGAAGATAATTTTCTGGAAATGTAAACTATGGATGGTTTTAACTACAATTTTTGTTATTTTGTTCCTGGTCATTCTCATCAGTCTAGTTCTATATTCTAGTAAGTACTCTTGGCTTGTTCTGTAATAAAAATGAGTGATGTGTACAATCTAATAAAAATATTAATCAAACAGCAGCATCCTTTAAAGTCCTGCTGAAAACTGCATAGGAGACTCGGGTGCCAATTGCAGAAGGTGGTGTGCTGAATAGAATTAGTGAAGGCTTTTAATTGAGCAAGAAACCAGTAACTTGCATCCTGATGGGATGGCAGCTCTTGTAGCTAAGTGAGAGAGGGTTACTAGAGTAGAGTGAGAGCCAGGGTAGAAATAATGCTTGTAACACTGCGGCAAGAGCAGTGGATCATTCACCTCTCCTCATGTGATGTCTCTCAGGCTCCCAGAGCAGATGGCTGTCATTGATGGGGTGGGTCACTGTTCTCTGGGTGCTGTCACTTTTCTTTAGGTGACTCATGCTTTCTTTCTGTCACTCCAACGAGTCATTACCTAGCAAGTTTGTGTGAAAGCCACCTTGGAGAAAACCAGGAGGTTGTTGCTTTTTCTTCAATAATTCTGCTAACTGGATCTTTTCCTACCCTTTCTGTCTTCTTTTGGATACTAGATGTTTACACAGATGAAGATGATTATTGGTATACAGATATGCTGCAGAATCATCACAATTTTTCTGGAAAGTTCAACTTACTGTGTGGTCTTCCACACCTTTTCTCTGAAGACATTACTAAGAGGGTACGTGTTGATGCGCTTCTTGGCAAAACAAATTTTCCTTACATGTGTTTTTCCTTTTAAGTGTTTTCTGTTTCTCTGTGTAGCAACTCAGCCACTTATAAGTCCACATAATTTGTTAAATTCTTGTAAAGTATTGTATGTTGTATTTTTGTAAAGAAAAACTGGCTGCTTTTAAGTACATAAACAGTTGCATTTGCCAAGGGAGAGGAAAAAAAGCAAAAAAAAAAAAAAAAAAAAACCAAAAAAAAAAACCACCTGTTTTTTATTAATTTCTTTTTACTTCTTATTTGAGTAATAATTGAGACATAATCTTCACTTTTTTTCATTGAACCATTGAATAGCTTAGATAAGGGGAGGCCTGTAGAGGTCTTCTAGCCCAGTGTCAGATTTGCATTGCGTTCTCCTGTAAGTGCATAATGTCAGTCTGGGTTTATATCTGCCATTTACATTGAGCCATTGCTGACTGAGCTGTGGCTGAAATGAGGCATGGCAGTACTGGTTTAGATGTACTGTGGAATGGGAGTCTCAGTTGGGACACCTTTCCCTCTGCCAAGTTAGAATAGAAGGGCTTTTTGCCACTAATAAGAAACCAAGCCAAACAACATAAATTGCTTCTGGCAACATGAGCACATACTTTTAGTTCACCCTGAATGCCTTCCTTTGTGCTAAGGTAATACAATAATCACTCAAACACACAGATTAACTTGTCTGTCAAGCTTAAATGGAATGTGTACCATTTCCAGGGCAGATATTTGCAGATATTTGACCTTCAGCACCTGTGTTTATGGCCCTTAAAACACCTTTATAAGAATGATTCATTGTACTGTCTTTTGTGAGGAAGGTAGAAATTGGATGGAAGAAATACCTTATTTTAAAATTTATTTATTTTCTTTTTTCTCTCTAAGATAACAGATGTCTACAGCTCATCTCCAGCTCTAGGACGCTACTTTAGGTCTGCTAAAGTGGATGTCAGGTAAGCAATTTTTATTACCAAAATTATCAGAAATTTACAAACTTTGGGTGAGATGTGTACCTATGTAAATATGCATAACATTTGAATCTGTGAAAAATAGAACGTTTTGGTGAGGGTGATAAATATATATAGGTAGTGAAAACTTGACAAAGGATCCTCTGGTGTAAAAGACAAATCCTATTAGTAGTATACAATGACAGTAGCGTTTTGTTGCTGTTGAGTATCTTCTCTGCTGTCTTTGATCCCAAGTGCAGGCCATAATTAGCTTACTCTTCTTAAGAAGAAAATAAGCTACTGGAATCTATGATGGTTGATTACAGATGACAGAGAAGCTCAGCTCATGGTTCCAGAGGAATAGCAGTGGTGGGAAGAAGGGGAAAAGAACCCAGGCTTGCCTTGCAGAGGCAGAAGAAAGCTTCAAACCGGAATAGAGAGGAGATCTTACACTCAGCAGAAACTGACACTGAAGTAAGGCTGAGGAGTTCATTGTGTTTTAGACACTCATGTTTTAAGCTATGAAAATTCCACAGGAGTGAAACTAAGAAGTTGCAGGAAAAATGAGGCTGGAAAGCTCAGCTGTAGTGTGTCCTCTCATGGAGCAGTAGTGATGTGGCAAATGCAATTGATCCCACAGGACTTCTGAAAATGCAGTGTTGCAAAGTGGATAGGGAAAACAGGAGAATATCATGGGCAGAAGGTTAGCAAAAGCCCCAGATCCTTGAACTGGGCCAAGGGGCAGACCTGAGGGCACTTTGGGGAATGTTTTCCCATGCAGCACTAGCCATGGCCACACTGTTCAGTGAGTGAGTTTTAGCTTCTTGGCCTTTGGGGCATACATAATGATTTAGATTAAGTACAAATCTGTAGTACTGTGTATATATTAGCCAATCTGTCTCTCTGCCTCTTTTTCCCTGTGCAATTTCTTTTTTTTTGGTATTCTAAATTGTTTGAATAAAATGGAGCTATTTGTACTTAATGGATTTGGTAGATCACAATTAAATCTCCAGAGAGGGACTATAGTTAACTTCATCCGTTCCAGAACTCGGGCTAGAAGCAGCTGGGTTGTGCCAGACTCTGCTGTCAGGAGAGCAAGTTTTTCTGTAGGTCTTTAGCTAAGTTGTGTGCCAGATTTTGCAGCAGCTCTTCCCTTATCATTATGTATTTGTTAGGCACAAATGCTGAAAGCCTCATCCTCACATGTCTAATCGCCCCTTGTGCATTGGATTACAGACATGCCTCAGGTATGTGTCCAATTTTTGTTAATGTCAAGAACTGCTTGGAGAAGAGAGGGGAAAAAAAGAAACAGGATGCTTTGGTGGCAGGTTTTATTTCTATTTTTTTTTTAAAGATGCTTTTCTTTAGAAAAAAGCTTAAAGAAGAAATCTGTGCCAACTTTGTGAGAATTCAGCCTCCTCAAGGAAGAATGGATTCATTGGTGACTCACAGGCATTCATTCTTGGCTTTCTATTTTTCAGTAATGAAAGCTCCACTGTATTTTACCAACTAGAGTTCTTTGTACCGCCATCAACAGAGGGGTTTATGGAGAATGTAATGAACCCAGACTTTATAAGGAATGTTCTACTTCAAAATATTTATGATGAAGAAGATACTTCTGATCCCGAGGTATCTGAATGTACCAGGTTAAAGCTTGACCCAGCTTCTCTCACATCAAAATGTAAGTACTGTACTTTAGAGGAACTGTATACAAAGAGCACAATTATTTACTTGAAAAGAGGGAAATCTTTCTAGAAAGATGTTGAGATTTATTAGCTCATGTTTTGCACAACTTTGTTAAGATAATTATAAAATACTCTGTTTACAAGAAAGTCTTGCTATACCTAGCTTATAAACCAGAATTCTTTATTTGGTCCTGTAATGAGTGATGAAGATGCTTAGCTACAGAATCCAACCAAATTTTTCTGATCCCCTCTTGCATTTAACGCACACAGTTAAAAAGGAAATCTCATGTGTGTACCATAACGGGGCAAAAATAACTCAAATTGGTTTTCCTCATTTTTAATTTGTATCTAAATCTTTATAAAACAAATTTAAATCCAAGTGAAAAGGATTAGCGATCTGGGAGTGAACTTCTAATGAATTAACAGTCAACAATGAAAAGAGAGAGAATTTTTGGGGAAAATTCTTGTATACACAAAGATATTTTTTAAATGAACCAAATGTTTCCATTTCCACGTTTTCTAGTGAAAAGGCAGTGATTCCACTGTATTTAGGTTTGTCTTCATTGAAATATCAGTATAAGAGTCATATGAGCTTTGAAGTTTCACTGAAAATAATTCAGGGAGCTGTTGTGGTGTTTTTTTCCCCTGAAATTATGAGACATACTTAAGTGCCTTTAGAATAATCCATAAAGTGATTATGGCACAAGGCCTCCTAGAGTTCAAGAAATGTTTGGACAATGCTTTCAGACATGTAGCCTAATTTTTAGGTAGTCTTGAGGAGCGGGGGGAGGGAACTGGAGTTGGATTCAGTGATCCTTGTGGTTCCCTCACAGATTAAAATATTCTATGAGCCTGGACTAACACATCACAGTACATTATATACAAGTAAGATTTGTGCTTAACTCATTCTTTACTTCTTCAGTAATCTCATGAAGGGACAAGAAATTAACAAATCATAAATTCTAATCCTCAATATTATTTTATTCCTTGTATGTTGGTAATATTTAAAGAAAAAAAAGAGTACAAAAAATCCACTGTAACACTACAAAAGGGGCAGGAAAGAATACTCTGAAATATCTAACAAAAATTTAGTGTTAATAATGTATTGTTTTTATTTTCAGGAAAATAATGGACAGATTCCTCATCTTCCTTACCTCCTAGAAGAGGTGGTCTTCTACTGTCTTAGTGATCTCAGGTTAGGGAGTCATTCAACAGGTGGAAACACTTCTAAAGATGTTGTTCTTTAAATGAAAATGTGGTATTGGTATGAGAGTGCTTTACTCCTAGAACATTGCTACCTCCTTTATTTTTGTGTGGAATTATCGGTAAATTTCAATCTTGTGAAACTAACATTTTGCTTGAATAGGGCTCTGTTGGCTTCCAAACCTCTAATTTTTCTTTTTTCTTTCTTTTTTTGTTATTTTGTTTTTAATGAATATGGATTACTTGAATGATCTGTTAAGGCAAATGACTCATTTCTTCTGCTCTTGGCTTATAAAAAATTATCTGCACAACCTCATTCTTAATGCTTACGTTCACCCATTCTCATGTCTTTTCCTTTTCTTCTCTGCCAGCTTCACCTGCCATATCTCTCTAGTACTCTTCTCTCTCAAAACAATCTAAAACTTAAATATACTTTCTGCTTTCTTTAATTACTTGCAAAACTTTTGCACTTCTTTCTTAGGTGAGTTAGTACTCACATCATCCCCTTGTTCATCCTATAGTCTTCCCAGGGAAGGTGGTGTCTGCTCTGTTTTTCTCATCTGTTATGTGAAATAGAAATGAAGAAGGAAGAAGCATTGGAAAGACTCTAATGCATCTGAATGCTGCAGCAATCTTTCAGGGGTCAAATTAGTTGTGTACTTTGGTAATTAAGTACTGGTTCTTGTGAAAAGACATCTGTTGGATTCACATCTCTAAATTCAAAGGAAAATGAGTCTCTGCTCTACTTATACCTCCTGCTCTGGCAGTGATGGGGGGGGGGGGAAACAGATGCAAAATACTTACCTTAACAGGGCAGTGACAGTTGTTCTTGATGACAAGAGATCATATGGGACAGACAGGTGTCAAGAAGAAGATGCTGAGGCGGCTGATGTAGGCCAGTGTAGTGTGAGAGTTACAGCCAGTAACTGACTATAACATGAAAGCTAAAAGTTGAGCATTAACTTCATGAAGAATGTGATAGATTCACTACCATGTTAGTGAAGTTTAACTTTTTCTTATGAACATTTTTAGCCAGTATAAATATTAGTATTGTTGCATAGATAAATTTATTTTAACGAACATTTTGTATTGTGAAAAATATCCTAGGGAAAATAGTTTTTCTGTTTTTCTATTGTTACTAGTTTATTTAAACTAAAAACTATACTATGCATTAAATTATTTATTTTTACTCTAAAAGTGATCATTTTCATTCCTTGACATTCTTTCAGCACTTTCAGTTGAAAAATAGCAATGGGAATTCTGAATGCTGAGAGCAGTATGAAGGATCTGTCTGACACAGCCATGCACTCAAATGATTGTTCTAATTTTATCTGAGCTTGGGGTTGGGGGATGGTCTGGAGCAAATCAGGATGTCACTATGCTCACATCTGTGATTAATTCTGACCCCATCTTGATTTTTAAAATGTAGCACTGCCTATAAGTACCATAATTTCTCTTTTCTTGCCTCGTTTGATAAAATGGTATTGTATATTTCTATATTTCTATATTTATTTCTATACATGTATCTAAAAAACAACAGCAACAACAAAAAGATCTACAGATACAAATGCTGTCCGTTATATAGTATGCAGCATACAATTAAAAAAGATAATCTTATTCTGGGGAAGGACAAAAATTCATAGTTTGCATAGTTTATCCCAAAAGCAGAAGCCTATGGAAATGACAGCAGCAAGAAAATAATTTGCCTTTGAGATGCTGCTTGATATTATTGCTCTTACTGCTTAAGGTGACTGAATATGCCAACGCTTCTTTATCTTGATTCTGTTTCAAAGAACAAAAAAATAATCACTTCTTTCTGAAGACACCTCCATGTGCATTAAGAATTAATGAGGAGAAACAAGAACCTGCAAAGCATTCATTTTTTCCCTGCTGTTCTCCTCTGCTCCAGAACTTTTACCTAGGCAATTCACAGGGAAGAATGCAGTAAAATCATAGCATGATGTAGGGCCACTAAGATGATCAGAGTGCTGGAGCATCTCTCCCATAAAGAAAGCTTGAGGGAACTGGGCTTGTTTAGCTTGGAAAGGAGAAGGCTCCGGGGAGACCTCATTGTGGCCTTCCAGTACTTTAAGGTAGCATATCAACAGGAGGGGGGATGGCTGTTTACAAGGGCGGATAGTGATAGGACAAGGGGGAATGGTTTTAAACTGAGACGGGAGATTTAGGTTAGATATTAGGAGGAAGTTTTTCCCGTAGAGGGTGGTGACACACTGGAACAGGTTGCCCAAGGAGGTTGTGGATGCCCCATCCCTGGAGGCATTCAAGGCCAGGCTGGATGTGGCTCTGGGCAGCCTGGTCTGGTGGTTGGTGACCCTGCACACAGCAGGGGGGTTGAAACTAGATGATCATTGTGGTCCTTTTCAACCCAGGCCATTCTATAATTCAACAGAAAGTTGAATCTTTACAGCATGTCTCCAGATGTACTTTGAACTCTAATTGAAGGAAATTCAAAAAAAAAAAAAAAAAAGACGACAGATAGTTGTATCTGGTTTGCCTCTTAGCAGTAAATTGATAATACAAAAGAAAATAACCAGGTGACATAATAAATACCTTATCCATTAGGATCAGAATAGTGTGAAAACATTTCATCAAGTTAGGTAATTTGGGTACAAAAAAAGTTTTTATATCAGCAAAACTGCACGACGCTTTTTTCAAAATGTTTTAATTCAAAAAAAGGGGGGGGGGGAAACATGCGGTAGCAAAAACATTGGCACAGAATCACTTTATGATCTCTGGTTAGCAGATGAATATTCAGTTTCAGTCTGGACACGTGTGATCAGAAATGCTTCTTGCAGCAGCTCAATGGGCTGTAGGGAGATTGTGCATTGCCACTTCAGGGAGCAAAACCTAAGAGTCCAGTAGGAGAGAGCTGAAGGTGTTATGTGCCAAAGGCAGCGTGAGGGAATCCCCTGCTGAGAGGCGTGCAGTTTCTGCCTGTGTAACTTTGGGATCTTCAGTGGTTTCATGGTCTTCTAGATGGCAGTGGCTTGGAAGAGCCTAGATTTATTTATTTATTGTGTGCAGTTTGTTGCGTTCTTCATTCTATCCAGTTTTGTTAAGACTTCACTCTGTGACAAGTAGTATTGCATTAAGGGTTGTCGAGGAGAACAACTAGAGAAAGGATGCCTTTATCCAGGTTGTGTCTTTGTGTGTATACTGATATATATGAAGCAGGCCAGAGAAACTCTGGAAGAGCAAGATCACCTAGCACAAAGTTTATAATTTTTTTTTTTTTTTAATTTATGGTTATTATTATTATTGAATTTTTGAGATTTCTATAATAAATTCTACTATATCCCTTAAAAAAGGCACTGTAAAAATCCTAAAAATCTGGAAAAATCATGAAGCCTCAATTGCTTCTAGCAAAAAGCACTCTGTTTTCTACAAAGAAACATTGCTTTGCAAGGGTAGCTACTGCTGATTCCTCTTGTTTTAATTGTTAAGTCCTGTATCCTCTCCATGCTTTTTTCTGTGATTCCTTTTTTCAGATTTGTCTCATTTAGACTGACTGGAAGACGTAAGCTGTTATAACATAGGAGAGATGCTCTCCAGCTTGTTTGAAGAGCCAGCACAACAAATGGGATGAGAAGGAAGGCTGCGTGCTGCCAACTTAAATATTCATGTAGCTCTCAGGAATGCCATCAGAGCAGACAGGCTTCCTTTCTAATGGATCAGGACATAATCGTATGCGTTCTGGTCTTCAGAGTAGGTGGTATATTGCTTGCTCTTAGGTATGTTGACAATTGCGTATTCTGTCTGAGTTTTGGTGTTAGTTGCATAGGATTCAGGTTTGACATCGTGGCTGACAGTAGAATACCACATTCCGCTGGTATTCATAGAGTCTTTTTTGTCACAGTGTTCCTGAGAGCAGGGAGAGGGAGAGAGAGAGAGAGAGAGAGAGAGAGAGAGATGAATCAGCTTCAGCATGGTAATACCCTCTTGCTGAAGAATTTTGCAGTGCTCCTGCAGTGCTGTTAATGCACGTATGTAATATGAGAAGTGTTTGCAGACCTGCAGCTACTTCCCTTTTGTGTGGACCACAGCTGCACACCAGGAGCACACAGCAACATGTAACTGCTGCATGGCTGGATGGTGATGGCCTGATGTGTTCAGAGGTTGATACTGCCTGCTGGTGGTTTATGTGAGAAAATCTTCATCATACCATGCATGTGGGAACACAGCAGCACGTAGAGGGGAGTTTGAATCATCCTCTGCCCTGGCTGCCCCAGGGACTGGGACTATAGGTTAGCTGGCCCATGTGCTTGGCTGCTGGTGCCTGGAGAGATCCAAGTGCCAGCATCCAGCATGAGCTGGGCTCAGGAGCAAGCAGGAGTGAGCGTGAACATGTGGCTCCTGGAAGGAGCCCAAGTGTTGCAGGGGATGCAAGGACAGCTACCCTCTGCCTGGTGGCCCTCTTCTAGCATGTTGCTTGGAACCAGAGAGAGAAACAAGAACCATTCATTAATGAATGAGAAGGTAACATTGCATGAGTAGCTGCCTTCCCAAACCTGTTGAAACTTGCCCATCCTTTTACCTCCTGAGCATGTCTACTAATGTGTTTTGGGTGACTGCTAATCCAGCTAGGCAGAAGGATGACTCATTAAATTTAAAAGGATGCGGTGAACTGGAGCCAGAAGTTAAAAATTTACTTGCCCCCAATGCTTGATTTGAATTCACAGAGTAATAAAGCTAGTGAGTAAATACAGCTTTTCTGGTGGCATTTGCTACTGTCTGGTGCAGTACCAGTATGTTTAAGTGAATTTTGCTGTGATCGTGCTGACATTTGTAGCAGAGCTACTTTTGTGTTCTGTAAGTGGAACAAAGATATCATGTGCATGAGTTATTAAACCGAAGGGGTTATCTCTTGTTTTTCAAATCTAGGCGAGACAAATTGTCATTGGAATCACAGAATCATAGAATTGCTCAGGTTGGAAAAGACCTTTAAAGATCACCAAGTCCAACCACAACCTAACCATACTACCCTAACTCTAACAACACTCTGCTAAATCCCTGAGCACCACATCCAAACGGTTTTTAAACACATCCAGGCATGGTGACTTAATCACCTCCCACTGGAGCCTATTCCATTGCTTAACAACCCTTTCTGTAAAGAATTTTTTCCTGATATCCAACATAAATTTACCCTGGTGCAACTTGGGGCCATTTCCCCTCGTCCTGTCACCAATGAGAAGGGACCAGCCCTGCTCTTGCTGTAAGTACCTTTCAGGTATTTGAAGAGAACAATAAGGTCTCCCCTCAGCCTCCTCTTCTCCAGACTAAATGACCTTTCTTCAGTCACTCCTCGTAGGGCATATTAGAACATAATTTTTGAGGAATCTGTCAGATATTCTCAGTTGTAACCATCATTTTGTCTATTTGGGTTCTGCCTGGTGTGGAAGATCTCGTGAGGGAAACAGCACTTTGAAAATAATTCCTCAGTTTTGAATTGAGGCTTCACACAATTTTTTGATACTTAGAGATTACGGAAGTTTTAAAGAGTGAAGTGATCAGGGAAGACAAGTTTAAGAAAAGGAATTTACTATCTTTCTGCAGAGGCCAGGCTGTCCCTTTCCCTAGCCACTGTTATAAAGAACTGGAAGGGCAGCAGCATTTCTCCTAATGTACCTGAAAATAAGAATAGTTAGGCAGTTTATTTTCATAACTACCTGGCTCTAAATCCACCAAGTGAAGTCTGGAGTGGTTCTTGTTCCTTCCAACGCACAGGTCTACCCAAAACTTAATTGTAGCCACACATTCC